GGTATGAGCTATCACACTGGTCATATAAGGAGCCTCTACCTCCAACACTATCTATACATTTGGGAGATATTGACCATGTAAATCTCCACCGTGCTGGCATATCACACCTATACTTTCTGCCTGTAGGGCTACACACAAGCTGCAGGAAAAATTCTGGCAGGAAGACACCCCTGCTCTGCAAGTTTTGCATGACTTGCATGCACAAACTGAGGTGACCTCAGTCTACAAAGACAAAAAAGTCTTTTCTGGGTGTGACCAAGATACTGTCAGTCAGAAAGACACAAGCAGGCAAGTGTAAGGAGCAGGAGGAAGAGGAAGGAGCTCAGGTTTCCTTTTTCGTTGAAGGGGGAATCCATGGGAAGACTTAAAGATGACTGTGTTACTCTGAGTATGCTGTGGGGTAGAAAAGGGACCTCTGAAATAAGAAAGGTGGAAAACAAACAAAAAGCACTGTTGGCTATACAGAGAGTACAGTGTTGGGAGCTGTTAAGACTTCACTATCTAGACTGTGCCCCTTGGCTTTCTCACTCACCCATGCAAAATGCTGGCTGCAGATGTGAAGGACTAGGGCAAGGCTGCTGGTCCTGTGGGGATGAAAAAAGTAGCTGTAGGGTTATGCTTTGGTTTCTACAAGCCAGTCATGGACTCTCCAGGGAGACCCCAGGTAAGGAAGAGGATCTGGTGGCGTCTTCACAATGCCCTGGCAGCACTTGGTGTTGAGGGAGTCGCACAGTTCTGCTGGGTGGTGTCTCTGTAAGATGATGGAAAAGCTCCAGAGAGAGACTCAGGCAGAGTGAGGGTTCCTGCAGGTTACACAGGGCTGTGCAAGGTATGTTCAATGGTGCTTTTCTTCTGTAATTGTTATTTGCAATTGCTATCAATAGATATGTCCTCTTTGCAACTGGAAGCAGGCAGCTGAGTTTCTCTGTGAGTTTCTGAGTTTGTCTGTCATCATGAAATGGTGGTGTTCCGCAAGCAGGCATGATAAGGCGTGTGAATCATACCATCCCAAGCACTTGGCATCTGCGTGAGTCACTGTTTTGCTTCCACGTTTTACAATTCCTTCCTGTTTTGCAGTATCTGGGGGTTTGTTATCCTTGTGAGCTACCCACAGCACTTTGAAAACTGACTAAGGTGCAAATGTTAAGGCTTGGCTTGGTGCAGTATTTTTTGCTGTTTAAAGATTTCTTAACATCTCCTACATAAACACTGACACTTGCTTGAGCTGAAAAAAGAGTTTCCTTTATTAAGATGTCAATAGCAAGTTTTGACACTACCAAGATGCAACACTTAAAAAGTTCTACCAATATGGGGCCTGTTTTGAAAGCATTATTTCTGTCAAAATGCATTCTAAAAAAAAAACTGGGCCTAATTCTCTGTATACAAATGCATACACACAGAGATATGAAAACACAAAAAACTTATCAGAAACGAAAGATGAAAATTCAGAAACATGATCATGCAAACTGAGGATTGTCACAGTTTTACTTATTTTGGAGCAGGTATTAGAATCATAGAATCATAGAATAGTTAGGGCTGGAAAGGACCTCAAGATCATCAAGCTCCAACCCCCCTGCCATGGGCAGGGACACCTCACTCAAAACCATATTACCTAAGGCCTCATCCAACCTGGCCTTGAACACTGCCAGGGATGAAACATTCACAACCTCCCTGGACAGCCCATTCCAGTGCCTCACCACCCTAACAGGAAAGAATTTCCTCCTTATATCCAATCTAAAATGCTATTCCCATTTCCATTCCATTAAGCTTAAGCCTAACACATTTGACAATTTTGTTGATTACTCAAAAGAAAAATAAGTAAATGGCTAGTATTTAGAGTTTCCATAAGGCAAGTATCAGAGAACTGCTGATCTGTGAAGAAACTGCAGTATGGATTTAGCAATATGATTTAGATATACAGATATATGTAACAGCATATGTTAGCTAAGGGTGAAAATGTAGGTAACATTGCCTAAAGGGGAACCAGTGACAAGATATTTTTGGATGGTATGCAAGTTCCCTGTAACACCAATGGCAAAATAGCTTAAGAAATCTATTGGGGAGTATTAAATGGAAATGAAGCTTTTGCTTTTGTTTGTTTGTTTGTTTGGGGTTTTTTGGTGTTTGTTTTTTTTTTCTCCTTACTTTCTCTATGTGTGCTACTGATGTACGTATTTCTGCAATACTATTAAAGATCTTGATAAAGTGCAGAGGGTTCATGTAGGAGCCACAGGCATGAATAATGGCCTGAAAAAATATACCCCACATGAGGAGACTCAAAATAGTTGGTTTACCAGACAGGAAGTTAAGAGATAGTTTGATCAGTCTGTCAGCACTCACACAGTGAGTAAGCCCTTGACTTCTACGTCTTAAACCTGACAGAAGAAAATATCACAGGAACCAGTGAATGAATTGAAGACAAATAAAGATTTGAATTTAAACTCAAATTTTAAGAAGTGAGGCTAAGTAATCACTGAAACAATGCATTAAGAAATGTGTCAGATAGATAAAAAATAATGAAGAGAATGTTACTTAAGAGGTTAGCCCGAATGACAGGAGTGATTCCCTTTGGCTTTATGCGCTAGAAATGCTTGGTCCCCGTCATCTGTTATCTTAATTAGGTATGGTTTTCACCATGAAGGTGTGAAGGGCAGTGTTTGTGTTGCTTGTGTGTTTTCAGTGATATATTACATTCCATTAGGATGGCTTCAACAGTGTGGAAAGAAAAGGAGTGTAGCTTGCTGTTGTCTACATAGGGACCAGATGTTCAAGTGGCAGAGGGTTGGAAAATGGAATTTCCTAGAAAGTAGTGTGAAGAATCTACTGCTACTCAAAAAGTCAGCAAGTTGGCTGCAACCAGCCACGGACATGAGGATCTGCTTGTAGAGATACAGTGGGCAGTGGAAAAAATTCATATAAACTTTTGTGTTTCTAGACTGTCTTACCTAGTTGCTTATTTTTCCCAATAAATAACGTGTTCTAACTTTTGTTCTATTAAGATAAGCTTTTCTCACTTTAATTGATTTTTTTGGTCTTGTTTGAGGATCATCTTCTGGATGTCCAGTTGTGATGTATGTAATTGTAGGTATAATTCACCTTTCTTAAGAGATGATGCCTAAAATTGAGCACAAAAATAATTTGAAGATATATCAGTGGAGCACAAGCAATTTCTCCCTTGGTCTCTCAAGTTAGACACCTGATCATATGTTTCTGTGTGAGCTCTTTGCCTTACTTGCCATCATATAAAACTTGGGCATGTTAGATTTAGAAACCACCTTCCCCCAGAAGCCCTTCTTGCAGGGCTGTATGCTCCTATAATTTCTCACCCTACACTTGATTGCATTTGCTTGTCATTATTTGTCTAGAATTTCACATTTGTCATTACTGAAAATTGAACCCAGTGTTTCCAGACCTTTTCTTTAATGTTTTAAAATTATCTGAACTCTGTCCTTGTTCTCCATCACATCTAACTGAGGCAAGAATGGCATCAGGAAAAACCCACTAAATCTTTCATGTATGATTTTTCTATATTCCCTGAATTTTACATTGGTATCTCAGAATAATAAAAACCTATCCCACTTGCAGTTCCATCAGTTGCAAATACATCTGATAGAAGGAGGGTAATGAGCACAGCAATCCTTTGTGCGAGTGACAAAAGCATAAACTGCTGGAGGTACTCAACCCCCAAGATAAATTGCTGTCATCTGTTTTGCACACACTGATAATAATGGGTCTGTGAATTGGATGGAAAAACATGGTTATAATCCCCCTAAAGTGTAAGGCAGCCTGCCTCTTGTCCTCACTGTACCCTGGCAACAATTTTGCTTTACTCATAGTTTTTCTGTCAGCCACCAAGAGGTTCCCAACAATATGTATCATCCTACCCCACAAATCACCAGTTCCCCTTGCTTGGGATCCCTACTGCTCTGTCCCTGTTAGGAAATCTTGCCTATATGAATGGGAGAATCTGGGTTCTATAGCACCTACCTCTGTCCTCATCAATGGAGCTACAGTTAGTAACGGGTGGGCACCTGGAATTTGGGGACTGCAGGATATGCTTCATATTATGAAAGCAGTGCACTTGCAGCTGCAGAGAATGTCATTCTCGTTGAAAAACTTGAGGGCCTCTACAAGCCCGCTGGTGTCTCGCTCTGCTCTTCTAGAATTGGCTCAGTCAAGCTTTGCATGACTTTCATTCACACCTTTCTCTCAAGATATGCATTCACTCTTGTGCATGACATACTCTAAATCTAGATTAAGAATTTGAGAATGCATGTCTTTTGCTGGCCCCTGGTGTTTGTTTGAATGTGAAATTTACTGTTTTGGAAACCATTCACACTTATCTGCTTTATTTTGCTTGATCTTTCGCTGACTCATTTCCATCAAAGTCAAAGCCATGACCAGAGAAATTACCTGAGTTCAGTGAAACAAGACACTACAGGAGTATTTGATCTTTGCTTTGAGAAAATGTGGCTGGACAGACTCGATTATTTCCCCTGCTGTGGAGGTCTTAAACATCAGCTGAGTCTAATGGCATGTCTCCAGAGGAGCACCTTGGAAAAGGCAAAATGGTTTTACTTCCAGCAAGAGCATCAGTCTGTACTTCCACCGATGTGCATGCTCTCACCAGACCTTTCTTCTTTAGGGTTTCTCCATTAGGATTCCTATACAGTACAGAGCACTGAGCTCAGTACTTCTACTTTGGAGAGGAGATGCTGCACAGCTGTGGGATTTGTCTTTACAGTTCCAAAAAGAGAACACTTCACTTTACTTTTTAAAATATTTTTAATATTAGACCACAAGCTTGACCAATTAGGAGCTTATTGTGGTAAGGGTCACATAGAGATATAAAAAATATCAGGTCCTGTTCAAAGAACACTCAAAATTTCATCCCAGTCATCCTTTCTGCTCAGCCAAAAGTGGCATTACATCCTTGCATCAAAAAGTCAATATTGTACCTCTGTGTGCAAACAACAGTTTCACAAGTATTTCGCTTTCAGCTGTGATTTTCAAAAAGGAAGTGTATGGCAAACAGGATGCAATCGGCCAGTTCATAAGGTGGGCAAGACTGTCTCACCGGAAGGGTTACAGTGAGGTGAATTTCTTGTTGTTGCTAAAGCCTTGTCCAAATATATTTATGTATGCTTAGTTTTGGGCTTTGGCAGGAAGCTTTAGTGCAAAAACAGCATGCCCTTCCGTCCTCTGTGTGTTTGAAAGCTCTTTTGGTGTGACTCATCAGAATCCTGTGGTTTGTGTATCCTGAGAGGAGAAGGGCTCTCTGTGATTATCAGACACCATGAAAAAGTAGCAGTTTGAAAATAAGATGATAAAGAAGTTCATTATTTCATAGGAAATGATTGCTGATGGCTTTTTATTTCTTCTCCCATAGGTTTGCTGTTTTACATGAAGGTCTTGTGGGTGTACATGGCTCTCTGTAGTTTTGCTTGACAGGCACATATTCTTCTTTGGAAGTGACAGTGCCTGCTGGGAGGGGGCTTTCTTTACAAGCTGATTTAGAAAACCAGACTCCTTGAAACAAGGGAGTCATCCTGAATGCTTGGTTGTCCGTGTGCTGATGTCCAGAGCTATGCCACTAAGGGAGACTGTCCTGTAGCTGCCAAGGTGCATCTTACCTCACAAGACACGATGGGAAGATGTGCATTGTTAAAGACTTTCAACTAACATCCCAGTGACACGTAAGTGGACTAAGGATACATGTTTCCCCAAAATGATAGCCATTTCAACTGATGCATTCTCAAGATGGTTCTCAGCAATTGCCTTTGATCTGTTTGTCTTTATACCCTGCTGATATCAGGGGGCATTAATGGTCCTGCCGTTGTGTCAGAGTGTTTTGACAAAAAACATTAACAAATCAGGCAAATGGAACGCAGAATTAAATCTATTTTTAAAAAATCTCCTGTTATGTCCAGAGTGAAGCTATCACTATGTGGGATCTTCAACATTTTACAAAACTGTTTCACAAAAGAGCATTAGGAGAATGCTCTCACTGACAAGTTTGGGTGTATTTGCCTAAGGGGCTGCTCATTGAGGGAGCAGAAATGCCATTTGAGAAAACTCTTTCTTTCTGGCAGTGAAAAAAAACTCTGACATAAAATATCTCCATGGAATTAATTACTGCAGACTAGTTGAGCAAGCCCACAAAACCGGAAAACATGTTGGAGAATCGTGCAATGTCAGGTCATTTAGAAAAATTAAAGAGTCCTCCAACCTTCTCAATTCTCTTTTATCCCACAGAAGCAGACCTTCTAAAAATTTAGAAATTCCGAATTCTAGGAAGTGCATGGAACACCAGGACTTATGTAATAGTTGAAGGATGAGTTACAGTCTGAAGCTGATGTTTTTATGATACTTTTCCTGTGTTTAAAGGGAGTCTATAAAGATAGCAAGCAAGTTGCTGTTTCGCTAGAGAATGTGTGCATGCACCCTCTTCTCCTCTACCCAAGCGCATAGGCACATAGGCATTGATAAAAACTCTGTGAAGGAGCTGACAAATGAAACAGTGTTGCATGGTATGGACCACACCACCACACTACTGTGTCTTGCAAGAAACACCTACACAGGAATTCAGAGCAACGTAACTAAGTCCATGACATCTAAGTTTGCATCAAAACTACAGTTGCTGTGTTATTTAAGTAGTAGTCTCTTAACATATGAATAAGACCAGTAGTCTACCCAGTGTAGTAAAGTGTGTTGTTTGAAATATTAACTGTGATTTATTGTGTACTGCGTAAGAAATTCTCCACATTACCTTTCTCTTGACAGCCACTTTATCAGTAACAGTCAGAATGCACATCACTTCTAGAAAATACGATTAGAGCTTCTACTGATCTTCGAAAGAAGAAAGGATTACAAAAGACTGTGAAGTCTTTTTATGGCCATAGGATGTAAATGAGGTCAGTCTCAAATAAAGCAGAATATAATTTATGGGTACATCTAAGTGATATCAAAAGTCTTTGGTTAAATAGAATTACAGTGAAGAAGAGACTTGCAGCCAACAAAATACTATTAATAACATAGTTAAGTACACTTGGTGAAATTCTTCTCTGCTGAGGTAAAAATGGCAGACTACCCTTTGGTTTTCATTTGGACAGTGTTTCACTTTAATGCTGAATCCAGCAATTTAGGGAAGAGAAACTTAAAAGATAGCTAATTTGGAAAAAGACAAAAAACTGTATGAAGCATTACCCAGGAGGACGAAGTTGAACTCTGTTTAACCCAGGATCTTGTGTAATTGGGATCCCATTACAGAGGACTGTACAGATTTCTGCTTTCCGTAAACCTCCCTAGGCTTGCACAGAAAAGTGTTTGCATGCTGTGTTAGGGTCTTCTTCAGTAACATCTGCAGTGGTTTAGTTGTTTATTGTTCTGAAAATACAGGTCTCTCTTTAGCAATCTTATAAACAATTTGGAAATACTGTGCCGTTGCTAATCACCTGTGCATTGGTCACATGCTGATCACATGCGTTGGTCAGGAATTTGACATGAGGTGGTTTACAATCTATGTTACATTTTGGAGAAATTTGAAGTTACAAGCAAAATGACAGCCCTAGGAAATGAAGGCCTTTGTTATGGGTGTAAAGGACTTGTCATATTTTACTGCCATGTAATTCATTCTGAATCACAAAACACAGAGATCCTTCCTATTTTGCACAAAGTATTTCCCCACATTCTAGTATTGAGTGAAGTCAGGAGAAAAGCATAACTGATGTTTTCTTCACTACACGGAGCTTGTTTCATTGCAGAAAATGAAATAACAATGTCTCAGAAGAATTAGAAAACCTGTTTGTGGGCTGGTCAAAGCGAACAGACATTTGGTTCAGATTCATGAAGTACCAGATCAGGTCATGATGTTTTATCAAAACTGGTCTCCTGCTGACAGTCTTAAAGACTAGTGAGAACTACTCCTCATCCGGTCCCTCCAAAACAGCTGATGTATGTTGGTGGGGTTCTTTTCTGTACCCACCACTACCAGACTGATATTTTTATGACTTCTCATTTCAATTGGAAATATCTGTGCAGGATGTACTTCTGTAAACTTTTTTCCTAGTGAAAAAGCTCACAAGGCAAGTTACAGACATCAAGCTTCTTGCTGAAACTGGAAAAATGAGATTTGACTTCAAACTCTCTCCTTTATTATAAGCAAGATGACATAAGGTACAAAAGGTGCCTGTAGTGAAGCGCATGATTGAGCAGGCCTTCTCTTGGCTGAAAGGATTATGCAACCCAGCATATAGAGGTTTATTGTTAGCACTGGTACCAATTGCCAGCAGATGCAGAGCTTCTGGAGAAGTCTTAAGAAGTGTTCAGGAGGACAGTACATTTTTGGATAGTTGCTTATGCTCACTTTTATGTATCCCATTTTCTGAATGGATGTCTCCTGTAACTTACTGAATCCCATTTCTTTTGGAGTATTTCCATCACAATGAGATTCCTCTTACCAGTAAAGGTGCTTTCCACAACACAGATTGGTAGTTTCTTAAAAGCCAAATTTCATATGTTTTTAAAATTTAACAGCATGTAGGAATAAGTAAATCCCACTAATTCTGAAAGACTCTCACCCAGTGCAAAAAGATGTGCGTTTTTTTGTTTGTTTTTGCTTGTTTTGTGTGTGTGTGGGTTTTTTGGTTTTGTTTGTTTGTTTGTTTGTTTTTCCTGGCTGTTCAGATAATAAATTATCTGTGCTGGTAGCTCAGACTTCTGATGGAATGCAGCTACGGCTACCTTAGCTTCAGCCTTTGCAAAAGACCAGCCTTTCTCTGTAAAAAGTCATCTCCAACCTGTTAATTTGTGTGCTGGGCAGGGCTTACTGTTAAATGCTGCATGCAACATGCAGTGTGCAGGGAGATGATCAGAGACAGCACCATGTTCAGTCTGTAAGATCATGGAAATTCAGCAAACTGCAAACTGAATGTGAAATGAGAAACCAAGACAACACGGTTGGTATGAAGAAAAGTGAACAGTTCCTACTTTTACCATGGGTGTCTGAGTGAAAATCATTTTGCTTTATGACTAAGAATGTTCCTTTCAGGTGTTTGAGAGAGGAATGTGAAATTCAGCAGTAGAAAGATGAATCGGAGTCTGCTGCGGTTAGTTTGTAAATTCCCACTGCATAGTGTAAGGTAACAATATACCAAACCTGAATTCCTCCACATTGAGGAGGCCCAACAACACCACCAAGGCAAGCTTATTTCTGCATGTCTTGAAATCATGGATCAATTTCCTTGTAAAGAAAGAGATAAAAGGTTATGGGAGAGTAAATGAATCACAGAGAAACAAATATAGTCTGGTGGCTATGAAAGTGGATTATTGTGGGCTGCTTGCTAAATGGCAGTAGATTTTTGTGGAAAATAATCCTTGTGAATAAAAACATGAAAGGTATTTAAGAGAAGGATTTGAAGTGTATAAAGATGATACTAATTAGATCAGCCACTTGGCTTAAAAATGCAGGGCATGTGTCCTTTAAATGTATAAACTTCTAACATTCACAATTAAAGTATTTCTATTAATGCTGTGTTAGTTGGTGCAAGAGATGACTAAATAAATTTTAGCAGGCTTAAAATCTAACTACTAATTCAGGTGTTAGTGACCACAATCCCTGGAAGTTTGGAAAATACAGATGATTTTCATGTAGATAAGTACAGCATAGAGACACTCAAGTGAAAAGTACGTAAAAGAAATACTTCATTAAAGAAAACTTCAGGAGGGTAGTACAAAAAAGAAGGTTTCCAAATACTGGAAAACTACTTTCAGTGTGTTAGATTAATAACTATTGATTGTCTTCTTTTATGTCAATCTAAAACTGTATGACTTTTTCTTTTTTGGTTGTGTCGTGAAGCACTACGTTTTGCAGTATAACAAGAGAGCCTTGCTTCAATAAATATTAAACCTTTAATGTTTTTGAACCATTTTGTCCTCAAATTTTACTGTTGATTCTGCCTCAGTCTCCTCATTTTTTGTTATCCCAAGCCCTCCCCAAGAAAAGGTGGAAGACTTGACAGTTGGAAGTTGGTGCTAGGTCCAGAAGAATTATTTTGCTAGCTAAAATGAGAACCAGATGTCACTTACATACTATGTCTTGTCCTCTAGCACTAAGCTGCAAGATGCTTGTATATTTTAACCTGAAAGTTACTAGAAACCAGGGGTTGCATCTCTGAGCAGCCCAAGTGTAAAGGGGGAAGTTTTCCACATTTCTCACACCTCACTCCAGTCCAGAAATGAGACATGTCTACTTTCCTGGGGGATCCTGATTCAAAAGCTGTTCTCAAACCATACTTGAACATGTGCCATTGCACGAAAGGGCATGTACCAGGACAGACAGGGAAAGGGACATGATGAGTTGTTGCCTTCAGACAGAATAAGAACGCATATCCTTCTTCTATAAATTACTCTACATTTTATTCCTAACCTGTTTACTGTAGGATAAGGAAATG